ATTCCACAAACATCTTTGAGTGCGTGCAACGAGCTTGAGTCTCGTTGAGTGCGTGCTGCACGGCACTGTCCTTTTAAGGGGTATTCACACGAGACGCGCGCATCACGAGACGAAAACGCGAAGCTTTTGTACATCGCGAAGCCTGACGTTTTCGTCGCGGGATGCGCGTGTCGTGGAGAAATCCCCGGGATTTCTCCCTTGTGTGAATACGCCTTTAGATAAACACTAAAGATATGAGCTAACTGGCGGCGTGGTCCGTGAACGTCTCACCACTCCGTCAAAAAAGCTGGACTCCCTCTCCGTTTTTTCTGTCTGAGCACGACAGCGAGCCGTTGCCAGCCTTGGCGAGTCGGAGAGGGGGAAGCGATGTGACTGGACCCCCCTCTGTCTACGTGCTCGGTGCGTTTCGCTGCACCCGGGAGTCGGGCCGGTTGCCCCGCTGCGACACCCGACTACACCCGACTCCAAGCAAGCCTTGGCGAACGAAGCCTTGAGCTCCTCCTTACTGTGCTCGTTGACGTGATTGGTAGTATTCAGTGGTTTCGTCGTAAAACACGTAACGGGGCGGGACGCAGTAGTTTGCCGGGACGTGTCGTGGCGAGGAGTAAAGTCTCTCAGGCTTTGAATGAGCTTTCTACGGCTCGCCATGGCCACGGCGCCAGTCTGCATACCCCATTACTAGTCTGCAAACGTCGGCGGTTTTTAACCTAGCATCCGGCGCTTACGCGCGTAGGAGTGCAAAAGAGTTAAAAATAAAAGTAAAACGAAATTAAAAATTTTTGATTGAGCAAACCGTTTAACAATAAAGAATTGTGGAGCGGATAAGCACCTTTCACGTGGCGTTTCAATTATTTCTAAATAACATGACCCCTAACTGTTTCGAATATAGATGGCGCTCCCAATCGTCCATTTTTTTGGCGGGCCCTTGGGGTTTTAAGGAGGAGTAGACTCATTCAGCGACTTCCTCTATGATATTATTTGAAACCATGTCCATTCGTTTGGTTCTCCGTACGATCGATCTGATTGGCTTACTTCTAAAGTTGGCAGCGCGCCTCTGGTGCTTCAATAAACCGATCTCACCGGCCAGCTTGACTACGCCACCGCTGATGTAATGCAGTGAGGGAACTTTAGTCTTTCTGCACGTGCGACAACCGTGCTGGAGCTCTGCGCGCGTAGAGCACGGAGTGGCACGAGCCGTCTCGTGAACTCCCGCCTGCCTCCTCAAAAACTAAAGTTATAAGGAGTATTCACTGGCGGCCATATCTGTGTGCGCGAATGCTGAGCGCGTGCTGGCGGTCAGTTTCCACAGTTCTTTTGCAACGTGCATTCCGCACCATCAAGAGTGCCGGTCTTAGCAGCCTATTGATATAAGCTCGTTCTGAGCATGCGCTCTAAACAGCACACACAAATATGGCGTCCAGTGAATACTCCCTATAGCGGCCTCACACATGCACCGAACGCTTGGAGAAATCGGTCTAATTGTCCTTAGAAAAAGAATAGACCGATGTCACCAGCCAGTTTGACTACGCCACCGCTGCCGCAATGCATCGAGGGAACTTTAGTCTTTTTGCACATGCGACAAACTCGCTGCAGCTCTGCGCGTGTAGAGCACGAGACGGCACGAGCCCGCGTGCACTGCCGTTTGTTCCCGTGAACTAAAGTTATGGCGGCCTCACGCAAGCGTTGAACGCTTGGTGAGATCGGTCTATTAAAAAAACTTACATAATAATGAGTTATGAACTTCTGTTGTTTGCAACTGAACAAATACTCCAGCTTTCATCTTAATTATTGCACTTTGTTTGGCTGGTTACTTGGAGGACTCGCAGCCTCAGCAGAAAAAAGTTCAGAATGAACCTACTGGACACCAATATGATGCAAAGAGTTAAAATATTTAAACTGATTGTTGTTGATGGCATTAGGTAGTACGTGAGCAGCATGCCAACCTTGGATTAAACTTCAGAAAGGTTAGGAAGAGAGAATACTGAGGATATAGAAATTATTACAGACTGAAACGACTGATGACGGGTTGTAACTAACAGGTACACGTTTTTGTGCCTGTGTTTCTGTACGTGCGTGGCTTAGGAAAAATGCAGGAAGATCCATTGGTGGATTCTTGGGGAATGCGTTTGCGTGACCCTTCGAAACGCCTCACACGTCCATCTTTCCCCATTTGAAAAACGCTAACGCTGAGCCCATGATTTTTCTTTTTTAGGTTTGTCTTATGGCTTTCTCTTTTGATTTTCTATTTTTTGCTGCCTTCTTTTAGGCCTCGTTACGGGGTCAGTGTTATCGTTTTCCAAAAGGAAACGTATGTGGAGTTTCCCAAGGGCCTTGTTAACGGATTCCCTAAGAATCCACCAATGAATCGCCCTGTAATTCTTTTCACATTTTTTCTGTTCTCTGCCTGTCAGAGTACGTCAACGCCCTTGGATACGGTCATCCATATCACTCGTGGAAATAATCATACCCATACCACTCGTGGAAGGAAGCGCATTCACATCACTCATGGAGGGAACCGCTTCCATCGTTTTAATTACACACACACATCACAGCCCACGCACCGGTATTACGGAAACCCAGAGCGAAGAACCACCGGCGACCGCAAAGTGGTAACTGACCACGCCCGTATTCCGCCGCGCCGCCGTAGTGTTGAATGAAAGGGCGTCATCAGAGAGGCCAACGCTGGGAACAATCACGCGCACTCATTAAAAACGAGTGCTGCTCTAAGTTATGTCCAGCGTTGGCCTTCTCTGATAACACCATCTCTTTTAACACTACGGCTTTGTTATCTTAGAGTTGCTGCGCGGTGCCTCCTCCTCTTTGGTTCCGAGCCTGCAGTGCGCGTGACCTCGTCGAAAACGAAAGGTTTCGTTTTGACGAAAACCCGGCGGTGTCTGTCAGTCTGTCAGCTTAGGGGAAAGAGTGAGAGGTTGACGCGTGCTGACGTCAGCGCTTCGGGCAAATAGAAGCGTCGAACGCGTCACCCTGTCCCCATGCTTCTCCCTCTCTCCCCGGCGCTGACAAACGAGGGACACCACCGGATTTTCGCCAAAAAGAGCGTTCTAAGGCTAACGCGTTAAAAAGTTTCCATAGCGTGACAAAAAGATCCTAGACCAGGTATTTTAGGAGCCACGGCATCGGTTGTTGTTTTTTTGATCACTAAAAGCTGAACCGCGTGTAAGCGATTTAGCAAGCGACGAGACGAGTGACAAACGACGAGAGTCAGCGACAAGCGACGCGACTATCGCTCGTCGCATCGCTCGGTTTTTGGATTTTTAGAAAACGTTGCTCATCGCTTTTGTCGTCTGCTCCCGTCGTTTTCCTGCGATTTGCCTTGCCCAGCGACTGGCCGAGAGAAAGCGAAGCGCGGGTCGCCGTCGCTTGTCTCGTCGCTCGCCAAATCGCTGACATGCGGTTTATACTTTATACTCCTGTCACCAGTTGTGTGCAGTGCAGGCGAAGGCAACGCCGGGTGAAGAGAGGAAGGGCAAGCACTAGAAAGGTGGGACGGGAGAGGAGGGCAATGGAGGGTAAGGGGAGAAAGAAAGAGCACTAAGAGATCAAGAACGTTAGAGAGGAGAGGAGGTTTCTCTCCGCCTCCCCAACCTTGCTAGTGCTTGGCCTCTCTTTCCTCGCCTGGCGTTGCATTCGCCTGTATTGCACGCAACTAGTGACACGGAGTACAAGTGATGGGGCTAGGACTTTAAAATTGAAAGGCAGGAAAGATGACCAAAACAAAAATAACGCTTTACACCTTGTACACCGGATCTTAGATTGGAAGCCTTAGAGATGTCTTTTCGATGCCTGATTTTCCTGCCATTGTTTTCTCCTCTCGTGTTTCCTTCGCTCAGAGGAGACAATACTGCAACACTCGACAATCCGATTGTCTTCTTGGCCAGCCCAGGATCCGCCTGCTGGCAGAATTCAAACGGGGCATGCGCCTTTGACAAACATTGAAACGAAGGGTGTTTCGTCTGGTTGCAGTTCATCATGCATCTTCCGGTCGGTGTCACCCTGGTACGCACTAGAATCGTTTTGACCCTTGTTGATATATTCCAGGACCTGTATATTTACAGTGAACGCAAAGATACGTAGGGTTGGGCGAGGAGAAACTACACAAAACGAAGATAACTCATTAATATTTACACAAGATATTCCTAAATCATTCAACACTGGTGTAATTTAATGTACAGAGAAATATTAGATTCAGTTACTGAAAGATTTCGCAGGCCCTGTAAATGTAATTTTTTAATGAACCTCTTTCTGTCAGATTACTCGGCTAGAAGTTGCCGTTATCAGTAAGGATGATATTGCGGGTTAGACAGGAATCACAGGTGGTGTTAGGGAAATGTTTTCTGAACATGTGCTTTTGATATCTGACCGTTCAGCATAAAGTACTGTCATGTGGTTCTATGAGTGTCATGTACTGGCGCTGTCAGACTTATGTCAGACAGAAGCAACCGATTCTTTCCTCTTGATCTTAACTATAGAACATCTAGTATAGTTAGAGACCGTTAAGAGTTCAGAGGAAGCTCCTTGCACCCCTTTCCGCTTTAGCAGGGTGAATGCTGGAGATAAGGCGACCTCTTTTCTCGCGTTCGCTCTGCTAAAGTGTAAAGAGGTGGGAGGAACTTCCCCTGAACTCTTAACCTGTCCCCGACTATAGGGAGCAACAGGCTGAACTTGGCAGAAGAAACTATGTATATAAAATCCTCTTAATGAACCGGTAAACCCCTAAACCGTGTTCTGGGGCAGGGAAGTCCTGGAGCTAGAAAAACTTATTCGAAACAATTGCTTTCCTTACAAGCCCATTAATGAACCGAACCTGTGGCTTTGTCATTGGTAAAGCAGGATCTGCGAAACCCAGATACACGTGTTTAGTGTGTAGATAGAAGCCTGTTTTTAGAAGTATTATACGACAAGGACCAGGTAAAGCTTTGACGCGAAGGCTCGCAGAAGAAGACCTGTAGAAAAAAAGCAGTAACACACAGACGAAGGACTTGGAAAACAGTAATAACATTAGGAAGTTTATTCACGTACATCCAACAGAGAAGCCCGATTTAACAGATCGGGTACGAGGAAGGAGAGCACGCAAGAAAAAAACAAAAAAGAAAGACGGGAACTCTCTCCCTCGCGTTCTGTTAAACTGCGCGTTCCACTGAGGTCTCAGGATCACGTGACGTCATCACTTTCTTGTTTTTTTTTCCTTTTGTTGAGATCACGCAGTCGTGCAAGACAAGTTACAAAACGAAACTTGTTATGCAACGGCGTCCCATTTCTTCTCATTTTTTTACGTCTTTTTCTCTGCAGGCGCCAGGGATAACTACTTCTGGACGCTTGTATTACTAAATGCCATGATACAGGGACACCTCTTGTTCAGAAGCGCCCTAGTTTCGCAAAAAAGCGGCTTTGATTTTTTTTTTCTTTTTTCCTGCTAAAGGAAGGAAAAGGCAGAAAGGCTGCGGAAGTTATCTGAGCTAGGAGTCTTCGTCTTCACTGTTGAGTCGTGGAAGAACGTAAAGTCCACAGAAGCAGCAGGTTCTTCTGCAGTTGAAGAAGCGCCAATGTGTCCGATCTTGTAAAAAGCTTCAGGATGACTGCGCAGCTCTGCTATTGAAGCATCGTTTAGTTGCCCAGGTAGGCGGAGAAAAGACGGGACAGGACGGAGTTGGACTTTCCGGTGGGCTTGGTGCCTGGGGGCGGCAGCAGAGCACTGCACCTGGGGTTCTTGGCGTCGAAGGAGTTGCACACGACGTTGGGAAGGTCGGAAGCGGCCATCTTCACCAGGATCTCGCCGAACTCAATAGCCTCAGCGCCGCACTTTTCGGTGATGGCCTTGCGGGTGCAGGCCTGGTACCTGGAGTACATGCTGCGCAAAAGAATCAAAAGAGGTTATTAGCATTGCCCTCTATGAAGCTACAAATCTAGCGGAGACCCCTTGACTCTCTCATATTCAATTTACTCCTTCGCGCTACGTGAACCTCTAACTTGTGAGGCTCGGCGTCTATTCCATATTCTGAAATATTTCATAAAGTACTGCAAGTATATTTACATTTATGTCAAGGCGCAGTAGTGGGGAACAGGGGAACAGTCTTGCAAAGTTGCGAATTTTAAACTCACCAGCAAGCGGCAGGGACACGGTCGTTGAAGGGGACAACGGCGATCTTCTCAAGACCAGCCTGGATGTCGGTAAGGCAAAGCTTCTGCTGGGGAAGGGTCTGGCCGAGGCAAGGGGCGTGCTTCAGGTAGTCTAAAAAACAAAAAGAAAATAGTTGATTTAAGTATACATTCAATCATCAATGCTCTTATTATGTCCTTGGGCAATCTGCCATGGCAGATTGAGGTGAGAAGAAACGGCATTGCGCACAGCTGTTTGCTCCTTGGTGCCTGTGTTTATGAGAGCAAAGAGCCCAGAGGCAAGACCGTCGTCAGCGAGTATAGCGAAGAATGTTTACGTGCACGCTTCGATGACGCCAAAACTGCCTGTGCTACGCATTAACGACTTTGTTTGTGAAATGAGTATTTTCAAGCAGTAGCGGCGGGGCCAGAACCAGGACGCGGAGAATCCTGGAAGCCGAACGATAAGGTTCGCGCACTCTTGGCTATTCCTCTTCCTCGGCGAGATCGCGGAAGCAACCTGACTTTTTTTTTTCCTCGTTTCAGGGTTGAGCAGAAACAGTCGAAGCTTTCCGCTATGGTAGCTTTGACAGTTCCTAGACGCGGTGGCGGAGACTTTGTACAACGTTCCGAGGAGGCACTTTTATACAAACCGCGTCGTGCAAATATTATTCACGCTTTCCTTATGCACTTTTATATGATTACATGATAAAGTTAGGACGTTTAATAAAGCTTTCCTCCCCTCATCTATGCCTCATTCTTTCGACTACTTCAAAGACTATATATGTATATTACGAGCATCAAATGTAACATAAGTTCGCTTATGCCTCCTCCTGCGTTATCGTGAATCTTCTTTTCGTTATCTTCTACAAGCATAACTGCATTATGCTGATATTTTGCTTTTTCCCGTTACCAGCGTGTTTCAGATTGTAACGTAGACTTATACGGTGGGCAGGTTTTCTAAAATATGTATTTTGCGCACCGAAACGCAAAGGGGGCCCGCCGATCCAAAGGCAACATAGATAGCGCGTAGACAACGCGGGATGACAATGCAGCCACGCTCACGCTGTCATTCGTTGACGTCGGGGGAATACGAACGCACATGGACGCGTTCGGGGGTAAACAAACGCACGAGGTGAGCAAGGAGCTGAAGAACTTGCGCGCCGTATTCCGATGCAGCGTAAAAATTTGACGTCATCAGATAAAGCTCGTCAAGCTGTCCATCGCGATCGTGATTTTGCCAGGAAGATACTCACTGGTCCTGATCTCAGTGCCCTTGGAGCAGAACTGCTTGAAGAGTTCCTGGGAACCCTCAGAGACGAAACCGATGAGCTCCCTCTGCAGAGGAGTGGTACAACGAGTAGTGAAGTTCTTGAAACATTCCTGGGACTCCTTCAGGAAACCGCACTGCTTGTCCACTTCGGCGTCGGTGGTGGCCACACCAGATGGGTTCTGGTTAAAGAGCAGAAGGGAGGCGGCACAGAGGTCCAGCTCCCGAAGGTGGCAAGCCTGGCCGTGCACTTGGTAGGCGGCTGTTGAAACAAACAAAAGAAAAAAGAATACACGCTGTTAGAATTGCCACCAAATCGTTTACGAAGGAAACTGTTACAAGAATCGAACAAATATCGCGGATGATAATAGGCTTGACATTATCTACTGAGCAAAATTGGAAAAACTAAGTGCCGACTTTTGTCTTTTACACATCACACCACTCAAAAAGGAATGGTTGCCTAGGGGGCCCATGACCTTTTCAAAAGACTGCTAGGAAAAGCCAACCTACATCACTCAACCCCCCCCCCCCCCCTTTTTTTTTCCTTTATTTTTCGTTTTGTTTAGTTTTACAATGGAGGCGAAGGTTACTACTGGGGAAAGAGGCGACCACAAAGTTTCAGGATGAGCGTATGGGTGTTGCCCCAGCCGAGACGCCAAGAGATTAGAGGAAGCTGGAAGCAAAAGTGGGGGGTCTTAAAGAGTCTCAGGGTCACGGCGCCCCGTACCTCCACAGGCGCAGGAGGGCCAGAACGGCATCAGGCCAAAACACCTTTTCTCTGTCGCTTTCCTCGCCGTTTTCTTGCCTTTCCTAATGGCTTCTGCGATTTTACTTTGCCGAAAAACGGCGGCCTTCTACTCGCGACCTTCGAACGACTCGAAGAGAATGACCAGATATCGCCTTGCCTTTCTCTCCTAGTCGTGCTATCGTACGCCTGTTGCTTTTCCTCCGGCGAAGTCTGACCTTTATCTAAAAATACGCAGCGTCCTACATCGGCTTCCCTGGGCAGCCAGGTTGCCTGCAGTGCGACATCGCCAACGGTTGGCTGTCTTTTCAGCAACGCCCATGGGAAACGCGAACGGACCATCTCTACAGAGGGAATGCGGGGCTCCTCTCGCTTTCGCTTTCACGTCGTCGAAGTGGGCGCTCATTCTCGCCCTGATTCCGTTGGACAACTCTGAATCGCTTTTCGGCACTCTTAAAAAACCATCGGCTTGCCAAGATCGTTTGTTCGTTCATAGTTATGCTACTTTTACGCGTACTCATTTGCACGTAGGTGTAGTTTGGATGAATCATTCAGGCAGTAATGAATGACTTCCTTCTTTCGCTAGATGGTCATTATGGTTCACTGACCTAAGTGCACCTTTTAAGTAATTGTGCTAGTACATTGTCGATTCGGGCATTATTTTTATGCGCAATAATAAATGCATGCAAAATTGAGCCTTGCGTGGAAATGGTTCATAAATATAAGTGAAAAACGGAAAGTGGGGGGGTTACGGCATCTCTGAACTGCCTCTCCATGCTCTTGGAGTGATAATACCTTCTGCTTGATACAGTCATGCGCTTATAGCACGTTTACCTAGGGGACGTGTACCTTGAAATATAGTGATCGCGAATAGTTCGATACTTATCGCGAATTCTTGACGCCGTTATTATATTTTGCACGCAAGATTTAAAGTACAGTAAGCTTCCCAGAGTCCTGCTTGGTGATGCAAGCATCGCGCTTGTGGTGTCACCTAAGTTAGCTCGCCTCAACGTCTCTGCTCGTGTACAGCGTCGGCACTCCCTACGGAGGGCTATTCCTTAGCGATGAATTTTTACAGCTCGAGCCTGTCTGCTTGGGTAAACTCCTCTTCTGGCGCGTCTATTTTTTCGTCCACCGGAGCGGTTATATCCGCGGAGAAACCTTCGAGACGGAGCGCGGGGCGTCGGTCCGATCGCTCCCCTCCCATCAGCGGACCGCTTTGGGGTCACTGGGACACCCGCCTCTCGGCAGCTCAGCCGCACCGAAAGCAAACACGAAAAAACAGAGAAGTTGCAGCTCGACAAGAGCAAGAGGCTTTCTCTTCTTTTTAGCCCTCAAGATTCGCAGCCACGGAGTCGAAGGCGGCCAGGAAAAGTCTACACCGATTCGAAAATCGGGCTGCTCATCGCGGAAGGAACGTTTTGGCGAGCGCTTTCTCTGTTTCGTGCTGTTGACTTAGACCTTCAGATAGCGAATACTTCCTTTCTTAAGTGCGCGCTTTTATCGCGAGATAAGGCTTGAAATTTAGTGGCTACTCTTCTGAAGGTAGGACTTGCAAAGTTCGCTTTCACTCTAGCTTTCTCTCAAAATAAGTTGCGCGCATTTTTTTCAACGCTGAACTTTATTAGTCAAAGGATCGCGTTTCTGATGAGGTAACCAATGGTAAGTTCGGTGCCGCGCTTAACCAATTTTTCGAGATAGAGCCAGTAATTATCTAGTCTGCGGCTAAACCCAAACACGATCATTTTCGGGGAAAGATATGACCAATATGAATGGATGAAACATTTCCCAAGGCAGCAGCTACTGAAGAAGAATATGCAAATTACTATCATTATTGTCGCCTCCAATAATCAATTGGCTTCGAAAAAAAAAAAAACTAGTCAAGACCCTAATTAGACAAGACGGTCACGTGTACTCACCGACGGCGATAATCGCGGCGAAAAGGGCGAAGGTCCTCATGTTGACTTAGATGATTTTCACTGGTATGCCCAGAGGTGCAGAAGAGCTAGCGTATGTTTGGAAAAGGGGCTATGTATATAGGTACAAGATGTCCAAGAGACTGAAGCCGATGTGGATGCCTGCTCTGGGACAGTCGGCTCTCTTATATACCGGTCTCTGGAATTGGTAAACAGCACCCTCACCCCTCCCTTCCCTTTCTCTCAGGTGGCTCGCTCTCACTCGTCTGACGACCTCCGCCTTTTACACTTTCGCCTCCGCTGGAAGGAACAGCAGCAAGGTAGTAGCGAGCGAGGAAAACGCCGGCGGCCAGAAAGAAATGATAAAGAGAAAATCGAAATAAGGCGATAGTAAGGGGGGGGGGGGGGGGGTAAAAAGGAACAAAAGATGGAGAGGAAACGAGGAGAAAGGGGCCCGTTCAGAGCTTGGCCAAGGTCTTCGCGACCATTTCACCTGCAGCATCTTTTTCCGTCTCCGTCGCTCTCCTCCCGTCATTGGTCGGGTGTCGAAGCGACGTTTCGCTGAACGGGTGCCGCCGCCATTGGGCGGCTTGGAAGGCTTACGTCAGCGGACGTCACCACGAGTGTGTGGTGATGCCATTACGCTAATCCCCCCCCCTTCTCTTTTGCAGTTGCGCGGGCTGTCTTTCTTCGAAATCAACGGAGTTCGCGGACCAGTTATGAGTCAGTGTAATGGTAATTTGCGTTTTCTTCGAGCAGGCTCGATGTCTTGCGAGGGTGTTTGGTTGTACCGGACTGTTATGAAACCCGATTATTGACGTTGTTTCGACGTGTGCGACAAGAGATTATAGCTTTGTCCATGCTCGTTCCGCTGTTCACTGGAAAGGAGGGGTCATCATTCTCGGAATCTATTTTTTAATGTTTCTCCCACTGGAAACTTTTTGGGGAGATTTTAGCTGGGAGGAGCTGCCTTCATTGGTGTGCATGCCAAGTCCGGTGTACGGGAGGTCGATTCAGTTGGCTAATTTCGCTAGCGTGTGAAGGCGCCGTGATCACGCGTTCTGGCCCCTTGTCCCTCGAAGCGCGAAGTTCGGTGTAGAGGCACGGGCATGCGTCCTTAGCGTGAGGGCAGCTCCTTCGACGAGTCTTCTCTGCGCCGCGGTTTGCACCCTACGCTTTCGGCGGCTTTTGTCAACGGGGGGCAGCTAATTTGTTGATCGCATTGGGTGTATCGCCTTCCACGTCCGATTCAATTTAATTTGGTATTATTCAGAAATTATGTTCGTACTCCAAAAAAACAATAAATTTAATATTGCGACTCGCAGCTCCTGGTGAGGCCTTTTTTTCTCTTTCAAGTTTTTTTTTTTAGTCAAGCATAACGTTTTACTTTTAAAGTTTGTACATTTCCATTGTTAACTTTTATACTTGAGGTGATGTAAAGTTATTTAAAAACAAAGCTACATTATAGCACTTTAATTTCGTTTTCTTTTCTTAGGCTTGGCAAACCTGTTCGCTATATTTCAGCAAACTCTTCTAGCGGAATTAGAAAGAAAAAAAGAAAGGTGGATTGATATTACAATGAAAACACTGCGTAGCCACGGACACATAGGCGGATAGCAAAATCAAAGTCTTCGGACGCGCGATGGTATATAATTTCAATTGGTTGTTCCAGGTCTAAGCTCTGGGCTCCACGGAGCGAGAAAAAGCAACAAATTTCGCCCGTTGGCGTTCTTTCTGTGCGTGGCTGTCAGAACAAAGGCAGTTGAATCGCGCACATAGCGAAGTTGTCGCCGGGCGAGGTTCGTCCGTTCTTCGCCGCACATTCGCTGCTTGGTGTTCAGCCCTTAGTCATCAATGCTTTCTTTCGCGCTTCAAAGATGCCAAACAGCGCTTTGTCACTGTGCAGGTCAACATTTCACAAACGTAATTTTTGTCCTGTTTTTTCCTCGTAAAAGCATTCTTTTTTTTTTTTTTTTTCGGGCTCATCATAATATTTGTTTGAGGTAAGATTGCCTGTTTCAGGCAAGTACCGCCGGTCAGAGCGCCTCTTTCTTTTTCATTTTTTTATTTCAAGTTGGCGCATTGGTTAAGGCCAGTTTTTTTTATTTTATTTTTTTTATTCTTTATATGGTTATAAAGGAACGAAATTTCTGTTACAATATTTGACGAAACGCTGAACGCACGCAACTGTTATATACCCTGTTAAGGAGGTATATAAGGTTCACGCGGACAATGACGAGGGAGATTATGAAATAATGAAAAGCCGCGAGGCACAAAAATAAAAGTTCATGTGTTCAAATTAACGGGAACAGGGCTCGGACGAGATGAGGAAGGAGGGCGGTCGAACTGCCGGAGCAGGTGGAGGTTGCTGAAGCAACTTGTCAATCTTCGTTTCGTAAAGGAAGTCTAGGTTACGTCGACATCAAAAACGACTCCTGCTCGCGCCGGTTTCCGTAGGGCGAAGAGAGGACAACTTGTTGTTGTGACTTTCTGTCCTGTGAAAGATTTTGTCAAGCTTCCGAAAATGTGTTTTCGTTAGGTTCTTTTTTCTTTTTTTTTTTTGTACTTAAGATTCGCGTTTTACGCACAAGCCTTCTTGGCTTATGTGGGTATTACTTTGCAAAATGTGTACATATATAGTAAAATTTTATTGTGTCGTGTTGTATTGCACTCGGAAAAGCCGGAAAGCACCTACATGTACGCACACCATCGACGGTTTCAGTTTGAGCTGTGGTTAGAGTGTTGGCGAAGTTTACCAACGGATACATTGTGCTAATTTATATAGTCTATTCATTGAGTTTTGACGGCGAGCTCTACGGCATTGGGGACACCTTTATTTATTTTAAACTAGGGTTTTATAAAGGAACCAGAAAGAAAAATAAGAGTATGCGATATTAAGTCATAAATATAATATTATGTTGACCAATTAGAGCCGGCAACAGATATGTCCTGAGTTTAATCTCATCTTCACTTACTCGAAGAAACAATTCGAATGCACTGCTATTGAGATGAATGTAGGACAGGTTCTTTTAAACTGATACAGCCAAACGAGACGTGTCATTTCTTGAACACACTGGCTATACTTTGTTTCAGCTTCGGTCCGAGCGTGGCCGATGTTATGAGCCGAAGGGCCAATCAAACAGCGAAAGAGGCACAACGTCATGGCGTGCTCTCTGCAGTTGATAGGACCAGCCGGTATTCGCCGTCTCTCTGTGCGCGCTCCACCATCGGCTAGTCTTATCAATAGCAGAGAGCACGCCATGACGCTGCGCTTTTTGCGCTTTTTGATTGGTCCTTCGGCTCATAACATTGGCCGCGCTCGGACCGAAGCTGAAACGAAGTATAGGTGTGCAAGGCTTAAGGGATGCCATCGAGATTTCGAAAACCAAAAGTCTTTATCGCAAAATTGATAAACTGAGATCTCCACGAATCTTACCTTTCATTTCGTTCGACCAATGAGACAGTTTGATTTAGAACTTCCATCTGCGCTGGACACGGACTACGTTATGCTCGATGAAATATTATGCCCAGTTCCGGGAGCGCTTTGATTATTTTTTTTATTGCCCCATACACTAGAGTAATATAATCCGCATACACCACTGGGAGGTAATTTTGCCGTTCGAATGATAAGCATACCATTGATAGTATATTTAAAGGGACGATGCAAGTATTTTTGTACTTCGCGCAAATACCGCTTAGAACGAATCCCTGGCATTAATGACATATAAAACACACTTTCGTTTTTCACCATACGCAATAGAAGTCGCAGAAAAAAATTAAAGAAAAACGAGCAGCGTTCACCCTTTCAACTCACAGCCAAAACGAGCGGCGACATGATCTGTAGTCTATAACATGCTGCCATGGCTACGTTTACACGAACGCGATCGTAGTGCATCGAATGGAGCAGGGACCAATCGCAAGCAGCTTGCCCCTCCTATTTCTTCTGCTACCAATCAAAATAGTTGTCCTTGAAATTACACCGCAACAAGGGAGTTCTATGGTCAGTGGTCTTGCGTGCAAGTACACATGGGTCCCAGTAGTTCCAGTAAGCACGTGTAAAGTGAAAAACATTCGAAGTGAATATCGTTGCATGGTCCCTTTAAACATAGCAAATTTCAACACCTTGTTTTAGGTGCCTTGGAAAGTTTACATTATCGTTTGAATTACCTGACAACATAACTTATCTGGAAACAATTTTCTGGACAGTTAAAATATCAGCATTTATATATAATTGTGGTAATTAAAGAATCAAGTCTATACGACCATTATTTCGTCTACACCATCCTCGTACTCCGATAAATAATAATAAAAAAGGCTTCAATACAGTGAAACCTGGTCGCGTGTAGACCTTCTAAATAAGTCCCACAAGAGCATTAACAAATGTCGTGCTCCACTAATTTCTTGCTGCTTGGGTGACTGTTTTTTTTTTTATTAAAAACAGTCACCCTTTATTAAAAAAAGGGAAATTTAATCTTCAGAAGTTCAATAAAAGTAGGAAAGTGATGCGCTATCTTTTTTTTTTTTTTTTGGTAAAAAAAAAGAAGAGAAAGCAAATACACAATCTGTTTGCTTTTTGTGTGGCAATAATGATAATGCATAGAGTAATTTATCTTATATTGGCGATTTTCATCGCGTGTTTTTGAACCTACGTACTTTCACGGCTCCGTTTTTTGGCCGCAAGGCTCTGTGAATATGTGATTCGCCCAAGAAGACTGGAGAGCGAACCTGCCGCTACAACTTTGTGTTCCAGCCGCTAGGTGCCGTCGACTTTGCTGAAGTCACCAGTACTTTACCGCTGGATACTCTCCAACCTAATGGTTATCCAAAATTTACACGTAGTTTTTTTCGTTTCTTTTTTTCTTTTTTTTTTTTTGTAATATGAAAATTTTGGGCTTTCGTTTTTTCTGTTTTATGATGGGGCATAACGCTTTTCCAGCTTGTTAAGAATGAGTCTTCGCTTATTCGATCCACATTTCCTTAACTCCGTGAGCTACATCGGTAAGGTTTTTGTAGAACAAAGCTTTTACTGTGCTCCCTTTGTTACTTCTCATTTTGTATATATGTGCAGTTCAGTTTTAAATATTTGATGACATATTACTCCAAGCAATCTTCTGGTGCACCACTGCAGGCATGCTAGTTGTTTGGGTCCATCACAGTATTCGTAAGTAAATGCGTGCAGGTAAATAACGACCACTGAATAAAAGAAACAAGAACGCCATGAGATGCCTGAACCGTTTAAAAGGGAAGCGTGCTTCGCTAACGTTCCGTCCTCGAATGCAAAACGTATTTCAGAGGGCGCACGTTCAAAACGAAAGAGCAAAAATAGATAATCCCGATACGAAGTTGTAATGGCTCTGGGGCTTTCCTTTGGGAAAACCCGCCCAAGAATACGTACCGCGATTTCTAGGTCAGGAAGAGAAAGGCAGTCTTTGTAGTCGACGTTTTGGCAGGGCCATTTCCGCCATATAATGCACCAGGTCGTTGACTCACCGTTGCGGTTCATATAGTATGCTCTCGCTAGTTATTTTATTAAAGACAACGGAGGGGACAAATTTCTAATTTTTGTGTTTTACGAAAGAAGCTGCAGTCAATGATGATATCCAAA